TCCTCCGCGCCTCCACCTCCAACTCCTCTCCTCCTCCTTGCTCCCTCCGCTCCTCCTCCCCTACTCCTCCTTTCTCCTCCTTTCCTCCTCCTTGCTCTCTTCCTGCGTCCTCCTCCTCATCCTCCTCCTTCCTCCTCCAGGCACAGGTGGCCCCCGTGCAGCGCCTCTCCCAGCACAACCCACCAGCACAACCCCTCAGCACAACCCCTCAGCACAACCCCCCAGCAGCAACCCCCGTACACCCCCCCCGCACAACTCCCTAGCACCCCCAGCCGAATCTTCCAAGCCGAACCCCTCCGCACAACCCCCCATCACAACCCCCCAGCACAACCCTGCGCCAGCAAACCCAGCACAACCCCACAGCACAGCCTCCCCGCACAACCCCCCAGCGCATCCCTCCAGGACAACCCCCAGCGCAACCCCCCAGCACAACCCCCCAGCACAACCCCCGGCACAACCCCCCAGCACAACCACCCAGCACAACCTCGCAGCGCAACCACCAGCACGACCACCAACACAGCGTTATCGCCGTGACCATGTTAAAGCATACGCTTTCAAGCATCATTCGCACGATGGCCGCAGGACATGGAATTTAGAAGGTAGTCTAGAACATATGATGTTAGTAGACGCAATGTGATAATGCATGTGATCCGGGCATATCGGAGTAATGTGTAAGCAGGTATCGAGCGGGAGCCTGTGTCGCAGTTGGGCATCCAACAACTTGACTAAATTGCGAGGAAGTCTCGAGCAAGGGCGCCGTTCTCAATTCGGGGCCCCTCTAGGGCATCTCGCAGTAGGTTGTGAGCAAGTATCGAGCGGGAGCCGTTGTCGTCGCGGTTGAGCCTCCAACAACTTGACTGAATTGCAAAGAAGGCTTAAGCGAGAGTGCCGCTCCTGAGTTTGAGGCCCTCTCTGGCAATGGCGTCGCGGAGTAGACTGTGATCTGCTTTCGAATGGGAGCCGTTGTCGTCGTTGGGCCTCCAAGCAACTCTCGTTGGGATTCAAGCCCGCGCTCGAGCGGGAACCTCGTTTTCAAAAGAAAATGCAGCCGGCGTCGAGGCGAGAGCGTCCGAAACCGATTCCAAAAATCAGCAATAATTATCCCCTTCAAATGGATATTCCACGACGACGGCCGCGATGACGATAACGACGACGAGCTGGCCAACCGAACAAACGACCGACCGACGTCGCTCGGAGAGCTCGGGAGTCCTTCAAAGGTCTCTTGAGGTCTCCAGGATGTCCCCGTCTGGGCCTCCAGGGGCCTCCGGAAGTCTTAGAGAGACGCCCAAAATCATCAATCTTCCTCCGTCTTGGACCTCGGACCTCGGAACCACGATCCTCGATCCCCCTCGACCAGGACGACTACGGCGAAGACGACGATGACGGCGACGGCGATGGCGGTGGCGGCGACGGACGACGACGAGGACGACCCACTGGATCGCCCTCGATCCTCCTCGTCCACGACAAAACACGGTCTCGATCCTCCTCAATCCTCCCCGACCACGACGACGAAGACGACGACGACGACGTCCACCATGACGGTTGACCACGACGACGACAACGCCGACGCCGACGACGACGACGACGACGACGACGACGACGACGACGACGACGGCGACGACCCACCTGATCGCCGACGCTTCTGGAGGTTTACGCGGGTATTCATTGGTCTTTGAGTCCCTGAAGGCTTTGAGAAGCCCCCAGCAAAATGATTCCAGCATTAGTGCAAGAGCGGCCTCGATCCTCGACGGCGACGACCACGACAACACAGCTGATCGCCGATGCCTCTGGAGGTTTGCGCAGGTCTACAGTGGTCGTCGAGTCCCTGGGGGCTTTCAGAAGCCCCCATAGAAGTCAAGAGCGGCCGCGACCCTCGATCCTCGACGGCGGCGACGACGACGAGGACGACGGCGACGGTGGCGACAGCGGCGGCGGCGTTGGCGGCGGCGGCGGCGACGGCGACAGACGACGGACGACGGACGACGGACGCCAAACGACAAACGACAAACGACGACGATGACGGTGAAGACAAACGACAAACGACCGCGACAAAGACGATCCACACGTCGGCCGGCGCTTCTGCAGGTCTCCGAGTCTCTGGCGGTTTCTTCGACGTTCGACCTTCGACCTTCCGCGGCGGCGTCTACGACAACGGCGTCGGCGACGGCGGCGATGAACCCCTGGCGCTGCTCAAAGTCCGAGCCCGGACCCCTCCAGGGGTCCACCCTGGCAAGCTGTGCGAGTAGCCTCCAGCTGCAGCGACGAGAGCCCTCAAAGACGCCCAGAAATGCCCGAAACGAAGACGACGACGTCGTCGTCGACGACGACGACGACGACGGTGGCGACGACGACAACAACGACGACGACGACCACGACGACGACGACGACCACGACAACAACGACGACGACGACCACGACGACGGCGACGTCGACGACGACGACGGCGACGACGACGACGACGAAGACGACGACGAAGACGACGACGACGACGCCGCGCGTCCTGGCCCGGCCCCCGCGGCGGAGCGGACCAGCGAGGGCCCGGTGCCCGGGCGGCCGCGGGGAAGCGCGCCGGGAAGGGCGCCTCCGCCGCCACGGGGCTCTCCTGCCGGGAGATCGTCGATCGCCGATCGTCGACGACCGCCGGCGTCGTCGACCGATCGTCGTCGTCGACCGATTGACCACCGATCGTCGTCGTCATCGCGAGCGTCGCAGCCTCTCGTGATCCAGGGTCGAGGTTCCCCCACGTCGTCAGAAGGCTTCGAGCTGCACGCACGCCCTCGGACGTCCTCCCCGCCTCCGTCCCCCGAGATCTCTCCCCCCCTCGCCGCCGTCGCCGTCGCTGTCGCCCCTCGTCCTCGAGGATCGAGGCGCAGCAGCAGCAGCAGGAGCAGCAGGAGAAGGAGCGCACACCACTCCTTGCTCTCCTCCCGTCCCTCCTCCCCCCCGCCGTCGCCGCCTTCTTCCCAGTCGCTGCTTCCCCGGGGAGCAGCCAGAGGACGGCAGGACAGGCAGGAGGACGAGCAGGCGGCGGCGGCGGCGGCCGAGTTGCGCGCCCAGACATGCGACGTCCTGATTTTTTCAGGACGGCGCCCCTGGAAGTCCCAACCATTTCCCCAGGGGCGGTTTTTCACCCTGAGTCGTTTTTTGACGGTCCCGAGGCCCGGCCAGGGCCCCCCGAGGCCGAAATTTGCCGAGAACCTCCCGTCCTGCTTTTTTTACGACGCGATCCGTGCTGCTAGGGTGGCCCGGCGGCCCCGGCTCTGGGCCCAGCAGCCCAAGGCACCGAGGGGAACGGCGCGCCCAGCCCAAAGACCAGGCGCACCTCCCGCGTCGTCCTAGAGATTCGCCCCCCAGGTCGAGGCCGCCTCCTCCTCCTCCTCCTCCTCCTCCTCCTCCTCCTCCTCCTCCTCCTCCTCCTCCTCCTCCTCCTCCTCTGGGGCCGGAGGGGAGGCGTCGCCACCGCGTGGTGCCGTGGCGCCTCCGCGGGCCCATCCTCGGGCTCTGGAGGGCTCCCGGTCGCCCCAGAGGTCCTCGGCCGAAACGGTCCTGGGCCCTCCGCCCAGGGGCTCCGCGGGGGGCCTGGCCGAAGTGCTGCCTGCACGTGGGGCCCCGAGGGCGGTTGATGAGGACGTACTCCTGTTCAACGCGCTTTGGGCGCATGCGAATGAGCAGCTCCATCTGGTTGGAATTGCCACTTTCCCGCTGCTTGCATCACGGCACGGCCTCTTGAACTTCGCTCGCAGGGCAGAAAAGACGAGGACGACGAGGAAGACGACGAGGCGGACGACAAGAGCCTTCAAAGCCTTGGAATACCTCCCGAAGGCCCGACGACGACGGCGGAGGTGGCGCTGGCGAAATCTGCTCCAGACCCATCCACATGTTCATCCTGGCCAGATGTTCGAGCTGCGTCCAGCAGCGACGACGAAAGACTCCACAGACGCCCAAAAATCCTCCAGACGACGACGATGACGACGACAACGACGGCGACAACGACGACGACGACGACCACGACCATGACCACGACCGCGACCACGACCACGACCACGACCACGACCACGACCACGACCACGACCACCACCAGCACCAGCACCACCACCATCACGACCACAACGGCGGCGGCGGCAGGCGGCAGGCGGCGCGGCAGGCGGCAGGCGCAGGCGGCGGCAGGCAGGCGGCGGCAGGCGCCCAAAGGCGGCGGCGGCGGCCCAGCTGGCGGTCCAGCTCGGTCGCGCCACCCGCCAGGAGCACCGCTCGCCAGTGGGGCACCCTTCTACGGCAGCGGGGGCAAGAGTGCCCAGGAGGAGGAGGAGGAGGAGGAGGAGGAGGAGGAGGAGGAACAGGAGGAGGAGGAGGAGGAAGAGGAGGACCAGCGTAAACCCCAACAACGGTTCATGTCCACTGAGGGAACTGCCTCG